TGGCCGTGTCCAGTAGCTCTGGCAGTTGTCAGGAATGAAAAACGCTGAGCTAAATGGATGCTGCAATGTGAGCGAATGAAGCATTTTGCTCTTTGGGAGAGCATTCTCACAGGAGGGTTTTTACTAGTGTGTTTGCCTTTTAAAATAGCGAGGTTATTTTTTCCTTACCTAAGATTCCTTCTTCAGTGACTGTAGAGTTCTGCGTTTGTCTCAGCTGTTGTAAATAGCATCCTTGCAGATGGATGGGACTTGATGATGGACCGGGTGAGAACCGAGGTTCCTGGATTCCCTGACGTAGCTGTTAGGGCTCTTGGTGCTAGTTGTGATGGGAAGGGCAGCAAACCTGCCAGAGGTGTCTGTGAGTATGCTCAGAGTTACGTGGAGGGACTGGCTATGTCTGTGCTGGAGGTGAAACCCCTCATTTCCTTCTAGGCCTGTGAGTGTTGGGTGATTCGACCATGCTGGTCATCATCCCAATATCTCCATTTCTGGAGTGTCCTTCAAAACCTCTGTCCCTTTGTCCGTCCCAGCTCCTAGAGGGCTGCATTCCTCCCATTGTCTGCATCCTCCTGCATCTCCAACATGTTCCCTGGGAGCAACCCGGCAGTATAGGGTGGTGGGATCACAGTGAGAGAGGAATGTGGCAGAGGGAAGCTCCTGGCCTGGCAGGGAGGCAGCTTATCAGATGGACACCTCTCTCCTGGGGGCTTGCCTTGCCCAACCTGCTCCTTCTGGCCTGGACACTGATACATGTCAGGCTGGTGTGGGTGGAGCTCTGTCAGGCACTGTTCTAGACTGACAGGCCGTGCTATAAACAGCTGATAGGAAAGCAACAGAAGCTTTTATCTGGGCATGGTAATTTCAGCTCCTAAGATGCTCTCCAAGGCACACCATGCTTTGGCAGCCTGTGATGCACACTGTCTTTTCCCAAATGGTTGGATCACAGCACTGGTGCTTTTTGGGAGCTGTCTTATTCATCTGCAGGATTTCCAGGCCATCCCAGGTCAGCTCTCTCTATTTTGTCTTCTCTGTAGCTATAACACAATGCCAGGATGGAGCAGCATGCACTGCTGCTCTGACACGGGGTGAGCGCAGTGCTCAGGTGCTGCTTGCCAGGCACATTGCTGCCAGTTCCTGCAGCATGTCAGCTGCAGCCACAGCTCCCAGAAACCCGAGGATCCTTCTGTCGTGACTCTGCTTTGATTTCAGGCAGCGTCTGCTGATCGCCTGAGTGGTCTCGCCTGCACAGAATGAATTGTTGGTATTCCTGTCAATGCAAAAAGCTCCGTGGGTGTTTGAAGCGTGGATTTTCTTTTCTAAATCCTTGAAACGCATTGACCCTGTAAATGGCCACATCAGGTGATTCTAAGCACGTTAATCCAGCTTCCCTGCCAAGCCCCAGGAGATAATCGCATTGCTCCAGCATGGGGATGTGGTCGTGTGATGCTGAGTGGCAAGGACGGCTCCGGTGCTGTTACCACAGCCCTGCAGTGTCCCGGCTTCACCCCCAGCACCTGAGCACAGAGGGGAGCTGCTCACCCTGCTGATCCCGCTGAGCCTATCCTGGGCATTCCCGTTTTAGGGAGAATCTTTGTGGAGGAGCTTGCAGAGCTGTCAGTGATGAATGGAGCAAAGTAGAGAAGTGAGAAGGTTGAGGCTGAGGGAGTGTGTGCTGGCACGACTCAAAGCATTCTGTGCTCATAACACTGTAAGGTGTGCTTTGGTTCATGAGTTCTTTGCTGGGAAGTTGGGGCCCTACTCACGGGGTGCCACCAGCTGGGAGCAGGGCAGCCCCAGGGCAGTGCCTTCCTTGGGAGGGCTGAGCTGGGGCAGTGGTGGAGGGGCCTTTGGGGGAGCTTTGAGCGAGCTGTGCTGGAGCAAGGCAGGCAGGAAGCGTGCAGGGTGCAGCCCCGGCCTGCCTGCACAGATGGAATAGATTCCCCAGTGTCCTGTATCAGGATCTCTCATCTTCCTCCTCTTGTGGTCTGCTGAAAACGTGAGCAGTGGAATCCGATCAGGAAGGGGGGAGGGGTTTTCACACTGGAGAGCGACCTCAAGATTTCTTCTTCTTTCGCTTTCCCTCCGCGAACAGGGATGGAGCTGCAGGCAGGGCCACTTCCATGGGAAACGCCGTCGTGGCACTTCCCAGGCAGGCAGAGCTGCAGTGTGATGCTCAGTGACACTAAATTATTGCCAGGATCCTTCCTGAGTTCTAATCAAACCCTGTTCTAGGTTAAGGTATTTATTTTGTCGGTGTTTTTTTTGTTGTTTTTTTTTTTCTTCTTTCCAGTGTGTTTTTAACCTCTTCTTTTAACCCCTCGTGTGCTGAGATGTAAGAAATGAATGGTTTCTATTTAAATACATCCTTTTGGGTTTTTTTAATTGTTACGTGTAGACTGCAGCTGCATCTTTGGCAGGTGTGATAGGTAGCAATGTGCTGTACAGACGTTTAGGGTGTTTAGGTGAGGCTCAGAGGAGAACTGCTCATAAAAACAGCATGGTGTCTTGTAAAGGGAACAGCCTGTGTGCAGAGGGTCCTCCCCGTGGGGGGCTGTGGGACGCACAGAGCAGATGGGCAGGTCAGTTTGGGGCTGGTTGTACAACCCTGAGCTGAAGTAGGGCTTTAGTGGGGTGTTCTGTCTGTGTAGCTGCATTCAGATTTCTTTCTGGGGTCAGGGGACAGATTCCTCTTTCCGATGGAGGAGCAGAGCTGGCTGCACATGAATGTTTCCCTCCAGTGGTGAAGAACAGATCCGGGCAGTGGGTCCAGGCCTGGACTGGGGGATGTGGGTCTCATCCCCGAGCAGAACCCAGTGCTCCTCCAGCATCCCAGCAGCACCGCCTGTCCTGCTCCTCTGCTCGGTGCTCTGCTTGTAGCCATGGATGTGGGACGTGCAGAGCAAACACAGCTGCACAGCAGCAGCCCTGTCCGTCTCATGGCCTCCTGGTCTCGTTGAGGCTGCCAGGACATCTCAGGGATGCTCCCTCCATCCCCATCCCTGTCCTTGTTTGCCTCCTCCGTGCTGACCACAGGGCGTGCTGAGCCTTCCCTGGAAAAAAACAGCTCAGGACAGATAGTTGGATGGAAATAGTGAAGCAGTGAGTGGGTTTGCGTGCCGAGCTTCCCACCTGCTCTGTGTTTTTATGAGTACGGGCTCCTCGTTCTGTACATGTTCCTATGAGCTATCGTTAACCCTACAAATGTAACCTGTGTAATAGCTTCTCTGTATATTACAGCCATAGGCTTTCCAGATAAAAGTGGATAATATTTATTTACTGAAGATACTGGATATTTTTTTTGTTTGGGAATGGGGTAGGGAAAGAAGGGGGACATAACTGTAAAGAGATCGACGATGTAAAGAGAAACAAACCATAAAGCAAAAGAAACCCAACACTAAAACGTTGCTGTATTCACGTAGGGAAGGTACAACTGTATTAATCTGCCATCGTTTAACCTGTTCCAGAAATCATCTCTACTTTGGTTCCTGCATGTGAGATACTCCAATAAATGCACTACTGGTGTGGACCGGAGGTGCGCGCTGTGTCGCGGTGTTGTGTCGCGCTGCGTCCTTCCATCGGGAGCTCCTGGGAGGAGCCGTCCGTGCCTCCGCACGGCACTACGGGGCTGCTGACGGGCAGAAGAGGCTCCGGGAGGCCCTGCACAGCAGGGCGGAGGGCTTCGGGGCCGCCCCACCCGCAGCCCGGCGCGTCCCAATCCCGATCGCCGCGATGCTCGCAGCCCGCCCGCCCGCTCGGTTGTCCCGCCCGTCTCTTCCCGGCGGCGGTTCCCTCCCAGCGGCCGCACGCTGAGCACCACGTGGATCCCCGCAGGACCGCCGTGATGTCACGCAGCCCCGCGCCGTGATGCGCGATCACCCCACTCCGCCCGCCGCGCTCATTGGCCGCGCCGCTCTGGTTCTACAGGCGGGGTTTTCCCTCCGGCCGTCATTCCGGGGAGTCCCGCCCCGCGCGGCCCCGAGCGCACCGCCCCGCGGGGGCTGCGGTTCCTTCGGAGGGAGCGAAGCGTGGGGCGCAGCCCTTCTGTTTTTAGGGGAGGCACAGAACGGGAAAACAGCGCCGTGTTGGTGCCATTTCTTCCCCCTCCCGCGTCGCGCGGTGTGGGTCTTTGCCCCGGCCCCGCTCAGCGATGCCCAAACCCCTCCGGGGTTCCGTGCCCCCGCTCGCACCTGGGGTCGCGCAGCCCCCCGAGCTGCCCCACGGCACGTCGTGTGCTCCCGGGGGTTGGGTTATGAGCCGTCTTCCAACTGCGGGTGGGGATGTGGGAGCAGCGCTGCCCTGTGCCGCAGCGGTGCCCCGTGGTTCCCTACAACGCACGGGGCGCAGTGGGGGAGCGGTGCGGGGCACCTCCAGCTCCATCTGACCCACGGGCAGCCTCGGTGGGGTGGGCCAACCTTCAGGGCTTTGTTTTCCCGGATTGTTCCTCAGGCTGAAACAAAAGGTGGGTGAGGATGAACCCAGAAGGAGTCCTAAAACTTCATCACCCTAAAACCGCAGCTCCCTAAAACTACAGCACCCTCAAACCTCATTACCCCCAACCTGCAGCTCCTTAACGCAGCTCCGCACCGCAGGGCCGGCACAAGCCTGAGGGGCACAGCACCCCGCACCCCGCACCCACCCCGCAGCGCTGCCTTCCCCCGCTCCCGTCCGTGCGCGCTCCCGCAGCGGGTCCCGGTGTTACCGGGGGGGGCGGGGATCCCGGGGGGGGGCGGGACGAGGGGCGGCCGCTCTCAGGGCCCCCCCCGCCCGGCAGCAGGTTGGGGCACGGTGCGGCCGCGCATCCCCGTCCCTCCGCCGGATCATGCGGCGACCGGCCCCTCTCGGGCGGCCCCCCCGGTCCTAAAGGCTCTGCTGCCCGTGAGAGCCGCCGCGATGAGCGCTCTCAGCTTCGACGATGCCACCCTGGAGGGGTTGGCCCTGGAGCTCCGCGCGGCGAGCGACATCGACACGGCGCTGCTCAGCGACATCGACGGTGCGGACCGGACCGGGACCGGGATGGGGAGGGGCAGCGGGACCGGGGCGGCGGGGTCGGTGCTGCTCGGGGAAATCGTGCGTGCTCGCGGGGTGTCGGATCGGCGCGATACCGGCTGTCGGTGCGGCGTAGCGGGGCCGGGTGCAGTTACCGGACCGCCCGTGCGCGGTCGGTGCGATGTACCGGGCGGCAGGGCACGGTGGGACGGGGCGCACCTGGTGCAGAACCGATCCGGGGGGGGGCCGCGCTCGGTGCACGCACGGTAAAACCGTGGTTCGGTCGGGGGAGCTCAGTGCTTGGCATGGTGCTGGGGGGGGTGATGGGATTTTGGGGTGCCGTATGCATGGCTGGGGGTCGCACGCCGGGTGCCGTCGGGTTCGGTCCCGGGACGGCTCCCCTCCCCCAGCGCTCAGCCTTGTGTCGCCGCCAGCCCCGCCCCGCCGTGACGTCACCGCCGGGGTTACTCTCGGTCGTTCCTCCTGGCTTCCCCCGCGCCGTCGGGCGATGGGTGGGGGTGGGGCGGCACCGGGCGCGGTGCTCCGCCGGGCATCCCCGGCTCCGGAGCCCGCGGTACCCATCTGCCCCGCGGCTCCCGGTCACCGTGGGGCTGTCGGGGCCGCTCGGAGTCGTGGCTGCTTCCTGGGGGGCTCTGCGGGATGGCGACGGTGCCAATTGGACACAACCGTGCCACCAGTAGGGACCCGCTCCCCGGTGTCAGTGGGACCCCATCGTGCCACCAAAAGGGGACTCCTTCCGAAACCAGTGGGACCCAATTATGCCTTCAAGGCAGACCCGATCCCCATGCCGATAGGACCCAGTCATGCCACCAATGGGGACCCGATTCCCGGTGCCAGTGGGACCCAATCATAGCACCGAGGGGCACCCGCTCCCTAGTGCCAATGATTCGTTCTTTCTGGTGCCAGTAGGACCCAATCATGCCATCAGCGGGACCCTTTCTGCAGCTCCCAGCCCATCCCAGCACGAGGCACGCAGCCAACCTGCACCAGGCAGCACGTGGTGCCGTTCCGCCCGGGCTCGGTGCGCTTCGGGGCCCTGAGGCACCCCAGCACAGACCGGCAGAGCCGGTGGAGCACGCAGCGGGGCGGGGACGGGGCTGGCAGAGCCCCCGAGCATTCCGCAGGGCTCACGGGAGCTTTGTGGGGTCGGAGCTGGGAGCCCCTTCTCCTCCGACAGCCGAAGCTGGAGCTGAACCCAACCGCGCCGTGGGCTGAACTTTAACTCGTTGGCACGCTGGAGGGGAAGCGGCGCATCCTGCTGCACCCGGTGCACGGGAGGACTTTGCCTGCGAGGTGTTGCGTCCCGGAGCCGCGCTGGCGTCCCCTCTGCCCTCCTTGGACACGAACCAGGGCTGAGACCGTGCCCCGGATCACGGTGGCCCCTGCTCTTTGACCATAAACTGTAGGGAGCAGAGGGATGGGCACGTGGGATGAGGGTGTCCCTCTGGGAGTGTTTCCCTGACACTGATCTCCATATGGAGAGGGGCTGGGTGTGCTGCTACTATTTACAGGGAGGGCTTTTGCTGATGGGCGCTTGTATAAACCCTTCCACACTGAGCACGATCCCAGGGTCTCTGCGTGTCCCCATTCCCATGTGTTTATGGCCCACGTGTGGGGCGTAAGGGGCTCGAGGGGCCCTGTGGGGCCATGCGTGGGGTGAGGGAGGTGGGAAACCAAAGGGGTTTTGTACCATGACCATCCGTGCCCTATAGTGCTCTCACCCACTGTAGATTTGCCACTGTCCCTGGGTGCCCCCTTGTCCCTGTGCCCTCACTAGTGACATGGTTGGGTCCCACTGACACCACAGAGAAGGTCCCCATTGATGTAAGTGCTCTGCCCTGTGGGGTCCCCCAGAGCAATGTGGTGGGGGCAGCGTCCCAGGGCTGGGGGTGCTCCATGGGATGCAAACACCCAGTGAGGCTGGAGGTGTCCCGAGCTGGGCCCCCCCTCCATGCACACACGGGTGCTGGCATCTCTGTGGGACGTCGGGACACGCAGTGAAGGAGTTAATGCTGCCTGACCTGGAGTAACCCTCGGCTGGGTGCCCGCGAGTGACCCGCTGTGCTCACCTTGGGGCTGCCCGGGGGCGGCCGGCGGGCGCGCGGGCAGCGATTGGCGGAGTCACATCACCCCATGGCCGGCTCTGCTCCAGGCCTGGCGCGGGCGGCAGCGGGGAGGGCGCACGGGGAGGAGGCGAGAAAAATGGTTTGAAAATATCCCGCTGCCTTCGGCACACGGCTGAGCTGCCGCGCTGGGGGATCTCAAGGGCTGCGTGCTGGAAGGTACCCCTGCTCCTCCTCGTGCTCTCCCCGGCGCGTGGGGCACCCCCTGGGTCACTTTGGGGTGCGCATCTGGGGGCTTGGGGGCACTTGTGGGTTTTGGTGTTGGCGTCTCTGGGTATCGCGGTGTGTTCAGATGGGGGTCACTCCATGGGGGCTCTTCAGAACACCCCGATGTGTTGGGCTGTGTCAGTGGGGATGTCCCCAGTGCTCCTGTGTGCAGGGCAGACCTCCTGGCTCGGTGCTGGTTAACCCTTTGTGCCCTGCTGCCCACTTGAGGGTGAGTGGGGCAGCACATGGCACTGGGGTTGGGGGGGAGGGTGAATATGCCACCTCCCTGTCCCAGCCCCAGCTCCTCAGCCCTTGATACAGGGTCTTTTTTAGGGTTGTCAAGGTTTTGGTGTCTAGTTTCTAATGAATGAGCTGGCACAACATGGTATCTCCCTGGAGCAGGCTGAGATCAGCCCCACTGCCCCTGGGGTTGGCAACCCCTGAGGAGAAGGGCATGGTGCTTCTCTGGGCTCCCACATCTCTGGGCAGAGGCAAGGAATGTGGGGCTGGAGATCTCCATGTCTTTGAGGCCCCTGGTGAGGTTCGGGGCTGCTACTGACCAGTTCTGGGGGGGGCTGTTTTTTTTCAGACATGCTGCAGCTGATCAACACACCGGACAATGACTTTTCGGGGCTGTTCGATGTGCCGTTTGCTGCCCCTGACAGCACAGTGTCCCCGGGGCTCCCCCCAGCCCCCACCAGTTACCTGGGGCCCAGCAAGCCACCACCCACCGGCAATGTGTTCCCGGCCCCCCCTGTGCTGTCAACATTCACCCCACAGTCCCCCACCCCACTCCTGCCAGCCCCCGGCCCCCCAGCAGCACCGGGGGTGAAGGAGGAACCTGCAGCCGTGCCCAGCAGCCAGCCTCAGCCCAGCGTAATGCTGGCCCCCAGCTTCGTCTCCGCATCTCCTGGGCAGTTCAGCCCCCAGCCCATGGTGGGCTTCCAGAACCAGCACAGCTTCCCTGGTGAGGATTTGGGGTGGATTGGGAGTGTGTGAGCTGTGCGTTGGGGGGTTGGTTTGGGGGTCCTGTAATGCTGCCTTCTGCTCCGTGTTCAGCTGTGCAGCCTGGGGGGGCTGCGCAGAGCCCCCTGCCCACACCACAGCCAGCCCAGCCTGTGGCACTGCCTGGCCCCGTGCAGAGCGTGGCACCGCAGCAGCTCCTGGCACCTGGCCCCGCTGCCACCACCCAGCCCGTGTCACCCCAAATCCAGCCAGTGCCGGTAAGCCCAGGATTGGGGGGCATTTATAAGGGGCATTTGGTTACACCACAGCCCTGCGAACCCCTCCTTGGCCCTCCAGGTTCTGCTGCAGCCCCACTTCATCAAGGCAGATTCCCTGCTGCTGACAGCCGTCAAGACAGATGCGGGCAGTGCCAAGACTTCCACCATCACCTCTTTGGCCACCAACAGCACCGCAACTCCATTGCAGGTGCCGGTAGGTGACCGAGCCACGCTCACCCTGGTGGCTCCCATACAAATGGGCTTTACGCCACGACCGTGGGTTGGGGTGGGGGTGCTTGGAGACCCCTTCCATGCCACCTCCATCCCGTAGGCTCTGGTGAGCGGAGGTACCATCCTGGCCACGGTGCCGCTGGTGGTGGACGCTGAGAAGCTGCCCATCAACCGGCTGGCGCCCAGCGGGAAGGCAGCGCTGCTGCAGAGCAAAGGGGAGAAGCGGACGGCGCACAACGCCATCGAGAAGCGCTACCGCTCATCCATCAACGACAAGATCGTGGAGCTGAAGGACCTGGTGGTGGGCACTGAGGCCAAGGTGGGGGCTGTGCTGGGGATGGGGAGGGCGGAGGGCAGGGAAGGCGCTGTGCGTGGGGCTGAGCTGTCCTTTGCCCCTCGCAGCTCAACAAGTCGGCGATCCTGAGGAAGGCCATCGAGTACATCCGCTTCCTGCAGCAGAGCAACCAGAAGCTGAAGCAGGAGAACCTCAGCCTGAAGATGGCCGTGCAGAAGAGCAGTGAGTGCCGTGCTGGAACAGTGAGGGTGGGTTTTGGGGTGATCATCTCCTCTCTAAACCTTGTCCCGCTCCCCACAGAGTCCCTCAAGGACCTGGTGGCCTCCTGCGGTGCCGGCCCCAAGGCGGAGGTGCCCGTGGAAGTGGCGAAGGCAGAGGTGATGGAGATGCTGACCCCACCGCCCTCGGACGTGGGCTCCCCATCCCGCGGCAGCCCGCTCTCGCTCAGTGGGGGCAGCAGCAACAGCAGCAGTGACTCTGAGCCTGACAGCCCCCTCTGCAACCACAGCAAGGTGTGGGGGTGTGCTGGGGGGCCCAATAGCCAAGTGTGGGAGAAGGAGATCCCTTAGGTTGCTCCTCACTCAATTCAGGACTGGAGGGAGGGATGGGGGGGACATCGGTGATGCAGTGTCCTTACTACTTACCCCACACACATGCCCTGTACCCCATGGCCTGCACCCCATGCCTGTGCCTCATCATCCCATGCTCGTATCCTGTTCATACTTGTAACCCAGTGCCAATATCCATCACCATGCCCTGTCTACGTGTGTTATACATTTTCCTGTACTCCATGCCCTGTATACTCCATGTCCTGTCCATGCTCTGTTCCATACCCATGCCCTCAGTCCCATACTCATGTCCATACTTGCACTGCCACCTACACCCATGTCCATGTTAATACCCACGCCCATATCCATGACCTGAATACCATGCATTGTCCATGCTCTCTGCCCTATATCCATGCCTTATACCCCACATTCTGTCCGTGTCCTGGAACATATACACATACTCTGTATTCCATGCCCTGTATTTCATGCTTCTGCCCCATCAGCATGCTTCATGTCCATGTACTCATGTCCATGACATATCTGTGCCCATGGCTCATGGCAGCTTTCCCCCACAGGTGAAGCAGGAGCACCCACCACCCTCACCTGGCAGCCAGGGCATGCTGGACCGCTCCCGAATGGCCCTCTGTGCCTTCGTCTTCCTCTGCCTGTCCTTTAACCCCCTGGCCTCCCTGCTCCGCGGCTCCAGTGCCCCGGCACCATCTGGGAGCCTGGGTACTGCTGGTCCTGGAAGAAGCATCATGGCTGAGCCTGGCACTGCAGGTAAGCGCTGGCATGGGGTGGAGGCCTTTGGGGTGGAGACCTTTAGGGCTGGAACAGCTTGCAGGACATTGCAGTGGAGATCATTGGGGTAGATGAGGGGTGGAGGAATAAAAGTCATTGGGTTGGAAGCTTTGAGGATAGTTGTATGGTGGAGGGCATGGCATAAAGAGTATTTGTATGGACGCCATTGGGTTGAGCATGGGCTGGAGACTATTGGAATGAAGACCATGGTGGGGAAAGGATGTTGGGGTGTGTGTGTGGTACGGGCTATCTGGGATGAGGCAGTTGGGGTGGAGCCCATCAAGTGGGGTTGTTGAGGTGGGCATGGGGTGAAGGCCATTGGGGTGGAGGACGTTGGGGCGGTGCTGATCCCCCGTCCCTGTACACAGAGGAGCCGTGGGGATGGTCGCAGTGGCTGTGGCCCACACTGGTGTTCTGGGGGCTGAACGTAGCCCTGGTGCTGGGAGCGGTGGTGCGGCTCTTCGTCTACGGGGAGCCAGTCACCCCTCCGCACTCTGAATCCTCTGTCCTCTTCTGGCGGCACCGCCGGCAGGCAGACCTCGACCTCGACCGGGTAAGCACCGCCCGCTGCTCTGTGATCCGCACACTCTGAGCCCCCAGCCTCTTCCCAGACCCCCGCCCCATCCACTTAGGCTAGCTTCGCCACCCAACCTGAGCCTCCCCCATCTCAGGTTAACCCGGCCGGCTCTGACCCCAGCGCAGTTGTAGCCCCACGCTCAGGCCACGCCCCTTCTCCCTGACGCCATTCACTTTCCCCAACACCCAGCCCCGCCCCCCGTTGACCACGCCCTCTCACATCACACCGCCCCCTCATTGGCCGCACGTATCCTGGCCACGCCCACAGACCGCACCCATGCAAACGGCCCTCCCCCTCCCATCGGCCACACCCACGCTTGACCACGCCCCCCGGCCCCACCCATTCCCCTATGGCTCCTCCCATCGATGACTCTCTGTTGTCCCAGGGGGATTTCGCACAGGGGGCCCAGCACCTGCGCACAGCACTGGGGGCCCTGGGCCGCCCGCTGCCCGCCTCCCACGGGGACCTGGCCTGCAGCCTGCTGTGGAGCCTGCTCCGCCACCTGCTCCAGCGCCTCTGGGTGGGCCGCTGGCTGGCTGCCCGCGCCGGGGGGCTGCGCCCGGACCCCCCGCCCCGCGCCCACGTCCGACAGAGCGCCCGCAATGCAGCCATGGCCTACCACCGCCTGCACCAGCTGCACCTGGCTGGTAGGTCCCGTGCCCCACAGCATCCGTGGGGATGAGCAGGGGACTCTGCTGACTCCTGCGCTGCCCCGTGTCCCCGCAGGGAAGCAGGCTGGGGGGCACCTGCTGGCCATCAACCTGGCACTCAGTGCCGTCAACTTGGCTGAGTGCGCCGGTGACGCCGTCTCGGTGGCCGCGCTGGCTGAGATCTACGTGGCGGCTGCGCTGCGCATCAAGGCCAGCCTGCACCGCTGCTTCCACTTCCTGGCTGTGAGTCTGTCACCCCCTTCGTGTCCCCTCTGTCCCCTTCCTGGTGCCTTCCTCTTTGCAGGACCTGGTGCCACATCCTCCATACCCACCTTAGTAGATAACCCGCAGCAGGGCCCAATATCATGGCCTCTTACCCCTGCCTTGGGGGCATTTCCACCCCCCCAGCAGCCCAGTATCCTGCTCGCTCAGCCTCCATGGGATCAATGTCCCCAGCCCCATCCCTGTAGCCCAATGCTGCATGTCCCCCTGCCTTCCCAGGCCCCGCTGACCCCCCCTCTCCCCGCAGCGCCCCTTCCTCTGCAGTGCCCGCCGCGTGGCCCTGTCCCATGGTGGGGCTGTGCCCCCCGCCATGCAGTGGCTCTGCCACCCGTTGGGTCACCGCTTCTTCGTGGACGGGGACTGGGCCGTCAAGGGCGTCCCGAGAGAGACCATCTACAGCTCCGCCGGTGACCCAGGTACCCCCCAGAGCCCCAGAGGCCCATTTTGTGGCTGATGGTAGGGTGGGGGCTGATGGCTGCTCTGTGCCGCAGTGGACCCGTTGGCGCAGGTGACCCAGCTCTTCCGTGAGCACCTCCTGGAGAAGGCGCTGTACTGCGTGGCCATGCCTGAACCTGGCCGTCCCGCTGCCCAGGGAGAGGGGTGAGTGTACCAGGGAGAGGGGCAGGTACCAGGGGGTGTCCCTTCCCTCTGCTTGCGATTGGGCCAGCCCCACTCACGTCCCTTCTGACAGAAGGCGCTTTTCGGATGCGTTGGAGTACCTTCAGCTGCTCAATGGCTGCTCCCACGCCAGCAGCATGCCCGGCCCCACACCCTCCATCAGCTCTGGCCTGGCAGCAGTGACAGGTGAGGCCAACATCCCACACTCCGAGGGCTTTCCCCACAGAACCCGCTCCAGGGATCCATCCCGTTGGGTTGGATGGTCTTCAGAAGTCCCTTCCAACCACTCCCTAATGTTCTGTGCTTCTGTCCCTCCCACCCCACAGGCACCGACCCTGTGTCCAAGTGGTGGGCATCCCTCATCGGCACGGTCATTCACTGGCTGAAGGGTGATGAGGAGGGGGCCGAGCGGCTCTACCCACTGGTGGAAGCCATGCCCCGGGCACTGCAGAGCTCTGAGTGAGTGCTGGGGGCAGTGGGGCCGGGTGGGTTACAGCTCCTCATATCTGTTCCTTTTTGGGGTGGCTTGGTGCAACTCGTGTTGATGGGCACCCACTGTCCCCGTGCAGGAAGCCCCTTCCCCGTGCTGCACTGCACTCCTTCAAGGCGGTCCGGGCTATGCTGAACAAGCAGGACGGCAGCCAGGCCAGCCTGAGCCACTGTGAGAAGGCCAGCAGCTGCCTGCGGGAGAGCCTGGATCTCTGCAGCCTGCCCAAGTGCACCATCGACAAGGTGAGGTCGGGGAGGGACAACACACAGTCCAGCCGGGGGGGAGCGCCCGGCCCTCGCAGGAGGCGTCCCCGGCCCTCGTGGGGGTGCATTGTAGTTGCATTGCATGTGTCAGACTGGGAGTGCAATGCCCCTGCCATGCAGCCCGGCGGGGGTCCCGCGCAGCGCCCGCCTGCCCGCGAGGGCCCTGGGGGTGTGCCCCGTCCTTCCGCCCACCCTTTGCTCACCCACTCCCCCCTGCCTTACCCCCCCCCCCACAGGCGGTGCAGCTCCTACTGTGCGACCTGCTCCTGGTTACCCGCACCAACCTGTGGCAGCAGCAGATGAGTGCCAGCCAGCAGCTGCGTGGCACCTACCAGGCTTCTGCCCTGGAGCTCCGCGGCTTCCAGCAGGACCTCAGCAGCCTGCGGCGCCTGGCACAGACCCTGCGGCCTGCCATGCGAAGGGTGAGCCTCCCTCCTACCTCCTGGCTCTATCCCGTGCACAGTGCACTCCTACCAACTTTCCCCATCCCATGCCATCCCATGCCATCCCATCCCATCCTTCCCTTTCCAGGTGTTCCTGCACGAAGCCACTGCCAGGCTGATGGCCCGCGCCAGCCCCACTCGTACCCACCAGCTGCTGGACCGCAGCCTGCGGAGGAGAGGGGTGCAAGGCAGCAAGGCAGGTGGGTGAGGGGGGCAGGGGCACCCCCCCAGCTGCACCCCCATAGGGCTGGGAGGTGGGGGTAGTTTTGGTGAGTGATCCATTCTGGGATGGGAAAATAGACTCACAGGATCACTTAGGTTGAAAAAGACCTATGATCATCAAATCCAACTGCCAACCCATCACCACCGTGCCCACTGACCCGTGTCCCCGAGTGCCACATCTAGCACAGCACACAGGGGACGCTCAATGCCCTTCCCCTCTCTCTGTCCCTGCAGCCGGTGAGCCGGAGAGCCACCCCACGCCGCGGGAGCACGCCGAAGCACTGCTGCTGGCCTGCTGCTACCTGCCCCCCAGCTTCCTCTCAGCCCCTGGGCAGCGTGTGGGGATGTTGGCTGAGGCCGCCCGTACGCTGGAGAAGCTGGGGGACAGGCGGACACTGCACGACTGCCAGCAGATGATCATCAAGCTGGGCAGCGGCACCACCGTCACCTCGGGCTAGCGGGGGGATGTGGGCACGTGCCACCTGTCCCCCCCCACCCCCCCTCCCGTGCCATATGGGTGGTGGGGACGTGCGTGCCTCGGTGTCCCCCTCTCTATGAGATGGTGTCAGGATGCAGTTTTAAGGTGACGGATGGGAGCGGCAGGGTGACGTCCCGTGTCACCATCCGCTGTGGGTGTCGGGGGTACATCCCGGCGTGGGCACCCTGCTGGCCGGCGCAGTTGGGTGACGGGACGTGGGGACCTCTAGTGACACTGTCGCAGTATTGCACGGCACTGGGGTTCCTCCTCCCAGTGCCCGCCACCCCCCTGCAAAACCCCAGAGCAAGGCTGGGGCCGTCCTCACCCCAGTCTGCTGCGTGTCCCTGCCCCTCCTCGTGGGTCCCACAGCACGGATCGGGGGGGAGGACACACCTCAGCACTGTCCCCACTAGGGGAGAGCGGGAGGGTTTGCCCCACGGTGGCAGCTAAGATGGCACCGTAAGGTGCCCGTGGTAGGAAAGAGGGGCCCCCCCTGCCCTCCCCCAGCACTGCCCATTCCCCCCATTAGGAGCTGTGCCCCCCCTGCAGCCCCAACCCCACGCGCTTTGGGAGAAGGGGTGGCTCTGGGTTGGGATGTGGAGGACTGGTGGGTGCCCCCATCCCCTTGCTGTGTCCCTACTTTGTATATAGCTCCCCGCTGCGTCCCATTTCATCCTTATCCTCCTCCTCCCCCTCCTTGCCTTTTTAAACGGTATTTTCATAGTTGCAGTTTTGTACAGTGAATTAAAGCCAATTATTTATACTGTCGTGTGCTGGACTGGGGGTGCAGGGTCTGACACATGGAGGGGGGGCACAGAGCATAACCTATGGGTCCTGCCTTCCCCCCAGCATGAGGCTGCACAGGATGGGGGGGCAAGGGTGGCAGGGATGGGGACATCGGCTGCCAGAGGGACCCCAAATGCACCCTTCATTCACAAGACCTCCCCGTACCTCAACCCCATGTTTGTGTCCCCCCACCCAAGCCCGAGCTCACAATGAGACCTTTGGTCCAGGGGACGAAGGGACACTTGGCCATCCGCCCACAGGAGGAACACAGGCCACGAGCAGGGCGCAGAGTACTTCCAAAACAATCGTTGTATCTTTATTGACGCTCTGAATGCAATGACCTGTTTTTTACTCTTAAGGAAAATAAACATCTTTTAGAAACAGCTTGTTACACACAATCTTCAGTGTGAAGCAATATACTAATAAGAACACTAGTCTTAACATTTACAGTCTTCATATATATTATATATATGTATATGTATACATATATATACACTATATAATGAGGCAATATATAATACACACGGTTTACCATTTTACAGTCATATGTACAAGATGTCACTAAAAATAGCCAGATTTCAGGCAGCGCTGCCAGGGACACTGGGATTATTATTTTTTTATTAATTACTTTTATTCTCTTTTTCCTTTTGTCCTTTTCTGTGTGACTTTTCTCTCCCGTGTCCGAGGCGAGCTGCTGAAACAACAGACATTTCTTGGCCAGCAAACCTGGAGGGTGTGATGGTGGGGCACAGGGTTGGGGGTGCAGGGAACATAGGGTTTGCAGGATGCTTTGCCTCCATTTGTAGGGTGGGGGTTGGGGTTAATGCACCCTTGGCAGCCCCTGGCCCCATTGAAGCAGCTGGGAAGAGAGGCAAAGCTGAAGCCAAGCGAACCTGGCCATGCAAGAGAGAAGCAACTCCTGCATTCCTCTGTCCCATGTCTGTCCCCGTGGAGCTTAATTGCTGCTCTCTCTGGCGGACACCAATGCTGCCCATCAGGAGCTGCTTCTGGGCTGCTTGCAGCTGCCTGCACCAGGCCAAGACTCTGGATTTGTGCCCAGAGCCATGGGGTTTGCACCCAGTGCCGTAGGGTTTAAAGCACAAGCATGGGGAGCAAAGCTCATCCCCAGCAAGCAGAAGAGCTGAGGAGGTGCTGGCAGAGCAGAGCAGAAGGAGGGGGGGCTTTTGGGGACTGTGCATCCCCAGCCCAGCACTGCCCCATGGAGCTGGGGGAGGTGGGTGCCGTGGGACGGGGCTGGAGGGAGGAATCAGGGCTGGGAGAGCCCAGTGAGTGCCCACCAGCCCCACTGGGGACACGGCCACTGGCACAGCAGTGGCGCAGTGCTGTCCCCATCGTGGAGACACTGTGCATGGCAGAGATGGAAGAACGGAACAGAAAAAGCAAAGTGGTGTTTCAAACAGCAGGCTGTTGGGGTTTTTTTTCTTCTTTTTTTTTTTTTTCTTTTTTCTTTTTTTCTAATGGTTTTTTTTTTTTTTTTTTCCTTTTCTCCATCGCGCACATATATACAGACAGACACCATGAGGTTTGCTGAAGGCAACATCTCAGATCAGATCAGTGTGAGATATGGAGACCCGGAACCCACGTGGGGGTCCGGCGGCCCCAGAGTAAGACAACATCGCAGGGACCCCCTCGTACACGGCCCCCCTCCCCCCCTCCCCCTCCCCACACCCCCAACCCCCACCCCATCCCACCCCTGTGCAGCTCACATAGTCCTGGAGCAGAGTCTCTGTGTTCGCCGTGCGGGTGTCAGCACCACTGGTGACCCCGTCACGCCGCACTGGGGGCTCCGTGCCCCCGGCCCCATTCTGACACCCCAGGGGCTCTGCCCACCCGGAGGGGCTCTGGGGAGAGAGGCTGGGGGGCGGCCGGCAGCGCTGTGCCCACCCCGGGGGCCACACTCCTCTGGTGACCCCCGATGGCTCCGAGATGGGGATGGTGGCACTGCCACCCCCCTGCGGGTCCCTCGCTGGTGGCGGGGGCCGTGCACCTCCCGTGCTGCTACACCGGCTGTCTCTGTGGGGACAAGGATGGAGTGTTAGCAGGAGGCAAGACACAAGGCACATGGTGGGGTGGGGGGGATGCCCCTCTGTCCCCAGCTGATGGGGACGTCCCCATAAGGACTGAGGGTGTGCTTTTAGCACAAGCTAAATCAACACTCTCCCTGCTCCATGTTAAGGGGACACAACCCCACAGTCTGTCAAGAGGAGGCAGGAGTGCAGCCCCCACTTGTCACAACTTCAAGGGTCACATGGGTGTCCTGGTGTCCCCCAGGAAGTAACGATTCTATGATGACCACTTAGGCTGAAACTGGGAGTGGCTGTGCTGGGGAGTGGGATGTCCTGGCGGACATGGTGACAAGGTCTGAAAGCAGATCCACCTCCCTCATGGGCTGGAGACATGAGGAAAAACACGAGGGCTCTGGGCTTACCTTATGTTTGGGACATCTCAGAGAGAAGCTCTCTTCAGTTAATAAGCAACCTGCGGGGAAAGAAGAGGGCATGTGAGGGCAGCCCCTGCCACCAGCTGTCTCTGGGCAGCAAGGACACAGCACCCTCCCTGCCACATCCAGAGGAGCCACACCGTTTGCAGGAAGAGTTTATCTGGAATTGGCCAAATCTGGGAGACAGACTACAGAGATCATCACCATTCATGCGGAGCCCCCAGACCACCCAGCTCTGCCATCAGCAGGGTCAGAGGGAGCAGGGGGGTCCCCACATCCCAATCCCAGCACCTGGGCTCACCTGTGTCAACGGCACATGCGTAGTGGTAGGTGTGGGGACACCCCTTCTGGCAGCAGCCCACTGTGGCTCCTGCTTGCTGGCAGCTCGAGCACTTCTTTCACCGCAGCCAGGAATCCAAAGCAGGGTGGGAGAGAGGCAGAGATAGAAAGATCCCATCAGAGCCTGGCACAAAGGCAAGAAGCCCCTATAGCAACGTGGGAGGCATGGAGATGAAGTGACATGTCTGGGGCCTTAGCAGGGAGGGCTGCAGCCTCTGGCCAACATTGCATTTATGCCTGGTGGTCATGCAATGGATGCAGCCAGTCCCAAACCTGGTCAGGAAGGGCTTGCTGCAGGCCCCACCCAGTCTCTGCTGGCATGGCCGTGGCACAAAACCCCATGTCTCCATGGCAGTTTCCCAGTACCCTCCTCCCCATTTTGCTCTCCCAATGTCCTCATGCTCCTCTCGCTCTGCACCAGGAGCAGGGCAGGGCTGTACGCTCCCCAGTCTCCAGCTGCCCATCATCCCGGCATCAGGCCGCCCACTCCCACCTCCCACCCTGCATCTGTCCCTCTGTGAGCTGCAGCATGACTGAACAGCACACAAACGCTGCTAAGGCTGAAGGAGGAGATCTCAGGAGCTCTCAGGGAGGCAGCAGTGCACATCCCGTGGGAAGCCAGCTGGGTTTGCACATCTGAACGCCAGCCCCAGCCTCCCAGGGTGACTCCTAATGCCCGGATGTTGCAGACCAACCCTATTCATTTAACCCCTTATCACCCAGCCACGTCAGCTGCGCAGCAACCCACCATTAGCCCTCAGTTGCTATGGGGCTGTAGTGCCAGAAGGATCTGGGCTGGAAATGGGGAGCAGCCATAGAAATGGCTTCAGCTAAATGAGGATGGTGAATGCCATGGGAGAGGTTGCTCCCAGCTTTATTGCTGCTTCTGCTATTATTCAGGGCCCACTCCGTGCGGGGCAGACAGCCGAGCTCTTACCAGGTCGGCAGCCGCCTTGACGGCCTCCTGCAGCCCGTAGAGCTTCCCTGCCACCAGGAACACCCCAGCGGTCCATACGGCACAGGCCTCGTGCAGCCAGTGCTCCTGCGTGTCGCCCGCCGGCTCGGGCTGCGGCGGGGACTCGGCCTTGGTACATTCGTGCCGCCGGGGCTTTTCGGCTGCCTCCTCGCCCTCTGTCCTCTCGTCACAGCAGTAGCAGCTCTGCAGCCTTCGGAACACACCCCGGGGGCTGGAGCGCAGCACGCTCGGTTTGCCCGGCTCTGCGGCACCCTCCTGCCTGCCCGCCCTGCCGCCGGCTGCCCAGCCGCTCTCTGCCACCCCTCGGGGCCTCTCCGCTGCGCCGCCCTCCTCGCCCTCCGCCCGCGCTTTCTCCTTCAGCCGCGACTTCTTTTTGGGCAGACAGTCCTCGGGGTAGTAGGGCCCGCACAGGTCACCCAGGTCCTTGTAGTTGGCGGGGCTGCGGCACAGGCAGCACACCAAGCAGGCCGCGCTCAGCGCCTTGGACACCACCGGCCCCAGGTGCATGGCGGAGGAGGCCGGCAGGGCTGCCCGTGGCCTGGGCACGGTGCCGGAGGGCCCCCGCTGCAGCCGGGCCTCGTCGCCGGGGGAGTTGATGACGGTGCAGGCGGTGGTGAAGTCGCCGCGCCGCTCTACGTGGACGTAGGGAGCGAAGGGGGGGGCCCGGCTGTCGGCCCGCAGCCTCTTGCAGGAGATGTATTTGAGGCGGATCTCGGGCTCGGCAGGGTCCGGCAGCGGGGCTTGCTGGGCCGGCCGCCGCCGCTTGCCACGGTTCTTGCAGCGCACTGGCACTGCTTTGGCTTTGCCGTGGCCCAAACGCTTGCGCTGCCGCTTGGAGTAGCCATTGTAGTTGGCGTGGTTGGCCCGGGGCTTTGTCCCCCGCGCCGTCCCACCCGCCGTTGGCCCCTCGCTGCCCGCCGCCTCCTTCTCCTCGCTCTTTGGTTTCTTGCCCTCATCCCCACCGCCCGGCCCGGCCGCACGCTCACGGGGCGACAGCGGCAGCGCGGGGCCGAGGGGTGCCTTGGCCATGCCCAGCGCCGCCGCTTTGCCCTTGCGGTTCCTCTTCTTGGGCAGCAGCGCCATGTTCTTGGCTGCCATGGCTGAGCCAGGCTGTGCCCCCGCAGCCTGCACGCAGCCCTCACTCTGCGAGCCATCGGCGGAGAGCTTCTTCCCGCTGCCCGGTTTCCCCTTCAGCGCTCGGCCGTGGGGGTTCCGGCAGAACTGCTCAGCCGGTGGCACGGTGGGCGCCTTCTGTGCCGCTGCCGGTTTGGGCAACCGCGCGTCACCCACTGCCGGGGCCACAATGCCGTGCTTCACCGCCCGCTCGCGCTCCGTCCCCGCCACGCTCAGCGAGGTGCTGTAGGTGGCCGCCACCGTGGCCGCCGCGGCCGTTTTGCAGGTGAACTTCTTCAGGTTGGGTGAGGTGATCTTCTGCACGATGGCCTCCAGCTTGAGGCCGCGGCCCTTGCGGGGAGGGAGCACTTTGGTCTTGGTGGCCTCCTGGAAGGCCGCCCGCGAGGTGATTTTGATACAGACGTCGGGGGCCTCCTTCACTGGGGGGGGTTTGGGGACGGCTTCGCCAGGGCTCTTGGGGGGCAGCTTTGCTTTCACCTTCTTGGCCACGGGCATCTTCTTGAAGAGGCTGTGGGGACCCTCCGGCTTCTCCTCCTTCACGCCGCCGCTGTTGCTGCGCAGGACGAGGTTCCTCTTCTTGGCGGGGATGGGGGAGATGAAGGTGGACTTCCTCTTCAGTGAGTGCAGGGGCCGCTCTGACATCTTGCCGCCCACCCCCGGCCCCGCCTTGGGCAGCTTCATCCTGGTGCCCACCTTGCCCTCCTTGTGGGGGCTGCCCGGGGGGGTCAACTTGAAGGCGGGTGGGAGGTGGTTGTTGGAGATGAGCTTCTTGGGTGCTTTGCAGTTCTTCAGTCGGACATCAGCCGCCCGCTTGCCCCGCCGCCTCTTGGTGTAGAAAACCTCCTGTGTCTTCGTCCGGGAGCGCAGGATCATCGAGCGCTGGTCCTTCTCCCCACCATCTGCCACATCCCCATCCGTCGGCCCTGGCCCCACCACCTCTTCAGGCGGCACCAAGCTGGACACCGTGATGGTGGCATCACCACCGGCGCTCTGGATGACCTTAGGGGCTGGCCGGCCACTGCGCTTCCTGGCTTTGAAAGCCACCCGCTGCTTCACACCACATGCCGGCTTCTTGCCCAGCTTCTCCTGGTGCATCGGTGCCTTCAGCCCCTCCAGCGGCGCCGGGGCACGGGGCTCAGCGAGGGCGGTGAAGGAGCGGGTGCACATGCGTGCTGGCAAGCCCTCCGCTGCGAACCTGGGCGTCTGGCTGTGCACATTCTTGCTCAGCATCTCCCCTTGTCCGTCCGGCCCCACGCACAGTGCTGGCAGCTCACTGAAGGGGCTCGGCACTGCGTTGCCAGCACTGTCCTCCTCCGGCAGCCGGCAGTGGATCCTCTTGTTGCGGAGGTTCTTGCCCCGTGAGACAGGCTCTGTTTTCACCAATGCATTTTCAGGTGCCGGTTGCTTCTTCACCCCAAGTGACAAAACAGGTTCAGAGTCCACTGCTTCCGGGTGGGACTTTTCTACTCCCCCACTCTCCTCCTCAGGCTGGATGTGGGGCAGGGAGGATTTGAACCAGCTCTTCACCTTGGTCTCCGTGCCCACTGCCGGGCCCAGCAGGATGATGGACTGACCGGAGAGACGCGCCGAGGGCACAGAACTCTCCTTCTCTATTGTGCTGACAGTCTCCTCGGCAGACATGGGCACCTCGCTGGCAGACAGCACAGCAGGTATCTCTGGAGGCTTGGGAGGTGAGGCAGCGTAGGGCACCGACTTCTGTTCCGTGCCCGCCAGCTCGCAGAGTGAGGAGTACTCCTCCACCTCCAGGTCCGACTCCTTCAGCTCTGGTGATGAGATCATAGGAATCTCACTGAAGTCCCCAGCTGTGCAGCAGTGCCGCGTGTCCTGCAGCCACCTCTCACTGTCCACCTTTGTGGCCTCATCGTAGGTCAGCGTCTCCTCCTCTTCCTCCTCCATCGCCTGCTGGCCAAAGTCCCGGGTCGTCTCACTCTTGGCCGGCTGCTCACCATCGCACAGGTCCAAGCTACAAGCATTTTTTTTCTCCTTGCAGGACCCTCCCAGTTTGCTGGGGAAGAGGCCTTTGGGGAGGTCAGAGGCTTGCAGACCCGAGCCCAGCTCCTTCCACCTGAGGCACGCCTCACCCAGGTTCTCCTCTGGCCACTCAAAGTGCTCCATGGCATTTTCAGAGCCCACTGAGTTGGCTGTGGTGTTCGAATAGCAGCTGAAGCCAGAGGCCCCTGCACTGGAAGTAGCGGCTGGGATGCTGGGCTTGGAGTTGAAAGCCAATGGGTCCGCATCCTTAAGTGTGTCCTTGGTCTCAGTGGCTGCAAACTCCACCTGGGGACCCTCGTACACCTCATCCCCAAAGTCCTTCCCCGTGCTGCCCCCCGAAGCCTTGTCAAGCTTGAGGGGCTCAGTGAGGGTGCTGGAGTCACCCTGGCTGGGCCATGAGCCCTTCACCATGGAGTCCAGGCATGGCCGGTGGTTCTCCAGCTGGAAGGGGGATTTTGTGGCCTCCTTGCTCAACATGGGTGAGTTGGGCCAGGCTTTGTCCTCCTTCTCATTGATGGCATCCTGCAGGACAATGATCTCGGAGGCCAGCTCCTCCTGGGACAGCGCACTGAGCAGCAGCCGGGGACAGTCCCGCTCGTTGGTCACGTACTTGGTGAAGGTCTCCAGGGGCAGGCTGGCATGGATGCTCTGGAAGGAGTCATCCGATTTGGTGGACATATCATCTGGGGAGGTGACAGAGCATGTGGACACCGACTCAGGCTTTGCCTTGGAGTTGCTGTTGACACGGGCAGGGCTGCGGTTCTGGTTGCAATACAGGAAGCTCCTCTCCAGCTGGTCCTCCGAGCCGCTCAGATAGTCAGCGTCCTGTGTCTCGGCATGGACGGACTGCGGGGTGCTGAGCGGATCCGACAGCGGGGTCCCAACCTGCTCTGTGGAGTACGTGCTGCTCTCTGGGCTGCAGTGCTGCCCCTTGAGCTGCTCAGGGGTCCTCGCTGGGGTCTTGATGCCCTTTTTCTGGGGCACGGCTGATTTGGAAAGCAGCAGCTGCTGGACGGTGTTGGAGATGTTCTCCACCTGGGAGGTGAGTGCCGTCAGGCTCTGCAGGCTCAGATCTGACAGAAGGTTTTCAGGCAGTTTCTCCTTCGGCAAATTCTTGCAATTCCCAGATTGAGCATCCGGGCTCGTCCCGTCAGTGGGAGAGGGGTTGAGCAGCGGCATGAAATGGCTGTGGTCAGTGATGCCGGCTGGGAAGGCACCGGCATTGAGAGGCTGCTGGCTGTACTGAAAGTTCTCCAGGTTGGGCATGAGCGGGGATGGCGTAGAGCTGTAGGATGGGGAGCGACCGACGGAGCGTGCCGGCGAGTGGCTGGCGCTAGGGCTGAAGGTTTGGTAGTACTGCTCCGGCGTGCGGACGGGCGGTGCGTCACCCTGGCAGTAGGTCTGCCCCGCTTGGTTGTAATGCTGATACTTGGCCAAGTTTTGGTAGTGGAGGCTCTCTGGGGCGTGATGCCTCCCCTGCAAGGGCTGAGGTTGGGGCTGAGGAGGCTGCGGGGGCTGCGGGGGCTGTGGTGGTGGCGGGGGCTGTGGGGGCGGTTGCGGGGGCTGCTCATAGCCGATGCGGTTGGGCTGGTAGCCGTGCAGGTTGGGCACACGGGGGCCAGGGGCGAGGCTGGCGGCACTGCCCAGGGGCCGCTCCAGCGGCGGCTGCCCTGAAGGTGCTGTGCAGCTCTTGTAGGAATGTGCCGGCTGGCTGCCTCCTGGCACAGAGGAGTAGGTGGAGGAGGCGGGGAAGGACTGTGAGTGCTGCCCAAAATGGGGGCTCTGTGAGAAGGGCATGGGCGAGGAGACGTCGTTGGGCAGCTTCTGCCGCTGCAGCTTGGGGTAGGGCAGCGCGGGCGGCTGCTGCGGCTGCTGCTGTGGGAAGTGAGTCCGGAAGGGCAGTGGAGCCGCTGCCGGCTCGTGGTACGGCCGCCCTCCTGCTGCCGGCGACGTCTTCTTCATCAGGCTGTCCTCATACTTGGGCAGCGCTGGTGGCTGCCCGCCCCACGCCTGCAGGCTCTCGTCCCCCGAATAGCGCGCTGGGTAAGGGCTGTTCTCCTGCACAGCGTAATTGGAAAAGGCCGGCCTGCCTTGCAGCTGCTGCCCTGCTAATTGCTTGTTTCCCCGGTGGTATTTCTCCGCGGCGCTGTTCTCATAGCCCGCGTATGGCAGTTGCTGCTGACTGTAGTACTCCTTCGCCACCAGCCTCTGCCGCTCGCAGTTCGGCCCTGCCTGACTTTGATGCCTGTAATTCTCCAGGCGTGATGTATCTTGTGAAGTCGGCTGGTAGCTCTGCTGGTTGCCATGGAAACCACACCTTTCTCGAAAGGACTGCATGGCGCGGGCTTGTTATCTGCGAAGAGAGAGAGGCGAGAATTCAAATGAAGCAGCGCCGCTGCGGAGGGCCGGGGAGCGCGGCCGCGTGCAGAGGGGACTGAGCTGCGGCACCGCAGGCATCGCCTCGCTGCCAGGGCATGGCCTTGCTGCAACTGCCTCCCCTCGTGCTGCCGTGACCGCGGCACCTAACACTGCACTGCAACACCCTGCGTTGCCTTGCCTTGCATTGCATTGCCCAGCATTGCATCACTTTGCATTGCATTGCATCACCTTGAAATGCATTGCTTGACATTGTCCTGCACCATGTCACCTCCCATTGCTTCGTTGCTTTGCATCACCTGGCATCGCACTGCCTGGTGTCACATCACCTTGTGTTGCATCGGTTTATATCACCCTGCATTGTCATCTTGCATTACACTGCTTTACGTCGCCCTGAACTGCATCACCTTGCTTTGCATCGCTTTACATTGCCCTGCATTGTCACCTTGCATTGCACTGCTATACGCTGCCCTGCACTGTCACCTTGCATTGCATCACTCCGCATCACATCGCATCACTTTGTGTTGCATCACTCTGCATTGCATCGCCTTGCACTGCATTGCTTTACATCGCACTGCATTGCCACCTCACAGTGCAATGCTTTATACTGTTCTGCACCACATCATTTCACATTGCATCGTTTTACCTTGCATCGCATCACTTTGCATTGCATCACCCTGCATCACATCACTTTGCATTGTACTGCTCTGCATCACATCACCTTTCATTGAATTGCTTTACACCGCCCTGCATTGTCACCTTTCATTGCATCGCCCTGCATCACATCACCTTGCCTTGCATCATTTTATCGCCCTGCACTGTCACCTTGCATCGCATCGCTCTCCATCGCATCACCTTGCCTTGCATCGCCCTGCACCACCCCCATGTCAGCAGCTGGCCCCGCATCACATCGCATCGCCCTGCATCGCATCACCCTGCATCATCCTCCAGCATGTCTCCCCACATCACATCGCCCTGCATTGCATCCTGTGGGTTGGGGTTGCCCGAGGTCCTGCTGCCTCCTCTCTCCCTGCAGTGTGTCTCTTCCCCACCTACCACAGCTTCACAGGGTGGAAGCCCCTCCCCTACCGTGGCCTGCAGCGTGCTGCCACCCCAAAGCTCTGCTGGGTCCCCTCGTGTTCTCTGTGTTCCACGCACCCACTGCCCATCACTCTGCAAATCCCTTAAGGAGTAACCCTTCCTCCTGGGGCTGCCGGCACCCCGCGCACCCCCGCCAACACCCCACTCATTGCCATTCTTTGTAATTATTGTGATAATTACTGGAGGCAGCAGCCTGGAGGGACAGGAACGCGGGGCTCTGCTGCAAGAAAAAACTCATTTCAACTTCCTGGGTCTGCCTGTCTGTGCCTGCAGCCGCCTCCCGCAGCCCCCCCCCCATCCCCAGCCAATAACCCCAGCGCCGGTGCGATGCCATCTGGAAGCTGTCTGCTCCCGCCAGCAGCCGCCGATTAGCCGAGCGCTCAGCACAGCCGTCATTAAACGGCCCCATTTCCTCTCCCCGCCCGTGCGAGGTGCGGGGAAGCACCTGGGTCACCCCGCTTTGAGCTCGCAGCGGGGCCCTGTGTGCTCAAGAAGAGATCGGTGTTTGGGGGGTGCAACCTGCCCGACCCCAGCGGGTTGGAGGTGTGGGTTCCCCCCGTGATGTTGCTCCTGCAGTGACCCTGCTGCAGCCCATGCTGTCCCCTCCTCAAGGAGCTTAATAAATCATACCCAGCACCTGCCAGATGCTGAGCTCAGCACCGTGCCAAAATGCATCAAATCAGTGCAGATCCTGACTGCCCCTCTGCCCACAGCTCCCGTGTATGCACTTCATCAGTCCCACGCTGGCTTCAATTTCTGCAGTGTCCCACGGACAGTGTTCACATCTCAGCACCTTTCTGGGGTTTCTCCACGCATGCAGGCATCTATTTCTGTATGGCAAGCTCTTGGGGATGCCCTGCAATGTTGCACCACCCCAGCACCCCAACCCCTCCCCCATATCTCCACCCAGATTCTCTTTTCCTTCTCTTTCCACCTCGCTGCTCCATTTTGCAGCTGCATTTCATGGCCCACACGGGCAGTGCACGTGGTTAGGGCATATATCTTGGGGAACAGACAGCTCCATTAGGATCTGGTAAGCCTGCTGCTGGAGCCCCTAATGGTGAAGGGGTGTGGGGGCTGCCCTGTCCTGCTCCGAGGCCAGGGGGGGGAACGGGGGCTGTGAGAACAAAGGAAGAAAATCAAAGCCAGGCTCTGGGGCAGCCCTGAGCAGCAGCGAGAGAATGAAAGGGAGAAAAGAGCCCCTAATGCCGCACATGGAAGTAGGTTTGAAAAATGGGATCGGGCAGAGAAAATGCCGGGTTGGTGCTTTCAGGGGAGCCTTCCCTCTCCCTGCTCTTTTATTATTGATTATTATTACTTTTCCAAACAGCTGGGCCAACGCCAGGCTGAGCAAAGCACCCGGCGCGAGGGCACATGTGTAGGGTGAGGACGTGTGGGGAACACACATGTAGGATGTGCACATGTGCAGGGCATGCATGCATGTGGGGCATGCACACATTCAGACTTTGCATTCATGCAGGGTGTGCACGCATGCAAGGGGTGCAGTGCTGGGCTCACAATTGGGTGCCCACGCATGGAAGCTCCTGGGGCAGCATTGTGCCCCAGCTGTGCATTGGTTCTCCATCTAGATTGAGCTCCCAGCGAGGTGCAGTGCCTGCAGCCCTGTGCTGTTGGGGGCCACACTGTGCCAGCAGCACTGGCCCTATCTGAGGAGCTCGAGGCCACCTCTGCCCTGAGCTGTGCCGCAGCTTTGCAGGAGCAGGGACTGAGCAGATGTTGCTGCCTGATGTAGGCTGTTTCCGAGCAAGCGCTTTAATGGCATCAAATCAAGCTGTTGACAGCAGCAAGGTTAAGTCCCTTTGTAGGAGAGGGAGGAGGAAGTGGCTGCGTCCCCAGGGCTGTGCAGCGCTCCCTGCCACAGCCCCAAGGAAGGTGCCACCCCCCTCCAATGCTGTGGTGGGATCCATACGGGGTCAGGGGGCTGCACTAAGCAGTCCTAAAAAGCTACCGCAGCTGCACGTGGGGATTGTGACACAGTGCCCCAAGGGTGACCTCAGGAAGGGCTGTGTCCACCAGAGGAGATGGGGACGGTGGGGACATCACAGTGCCTGGAGCCAGCATCGTCCCGCTCCTGCCACACACAGAGCTACACTCACATCTGGCTATGGCCACCCTGAAGCATTCGTCCCCTCTGTCCCCAGAGACAGCCCAGATGACCCCAGAGCTCCCAGAATAGCCCTGGGGTCACCCTCTGGGTCATGCAGGACCCACAGCAGCTCCCAGGGCAGGTGCTGGACCTCTGCCATGCAGTGATGCACGCAGCTGATGCAGTGCATGGTGCTGGTGTGTTGCACACTGATGCAGTGCACGGTGCTGATGCTGCAGTGCATGGTGCTGATGCAGTGCATGGTGCTGATGCTGCAGTGCATGGAGCTGACACGGTGCACAACACCAGGGCATGACACCATGCTCTCAGGCTGCCACAGACCCTCTGTGCAGACACCCGCCGGCTCCACGGCTCGCCGCCTGCCTCCTGCTCACGCAAGGCGTTGCATGGCTGTGTTCGCCTTATTCTCACCCCCGCTCCCCCCTTACTCTTTCCCACCCCTCTCCCTGATGGCTGGCAGGCAAAAGGCACAGAGCACCACGAGGACCAGATCTGGAGCCCTATAACACAACCCAAGAGCTTGGGAAGCACCCAGGACCCCCCCCCCAGCCCCACAGGACCATGCCTGGGAGCCATTTCCCTGCCCACCCCCCCAAGCTGCTGTGGTTCTCAGGCTCTGGCTTTTCCGATGCGACATCAACAAGGACTCAGCAACTAAAAATAGCAGTGTATGCTCACAGGGTAATGCTGTGCAATAGGAGCAATGCTGGCACCGCGGACCCCCCTGCCTCCTTGCACCCTGCTCCCAAATCCCCCCACCACACACCACAGCTCCACAGCCTGGGGGGGAGGGGAGTCAGCCCCATAGAGCTGCTGGGGGGGAGTCCCAGTGGATGCTTTCTTGGGGGAGAAAGTGCCTATCAAGGAGTGTCAGCTCCGGATTTGCTTAATTGTGAGCTGGTGGAGTTTAAAGAAACACTTTCTGGCAGGCTGCCACACCGCAAACTGCTTGGTATAATTTTATTATTAAGGGAGGAGAGAAAAAAGGGGAGAGAGGAAAGGGGGAAGGAAGGCAGCGGCGGAGCTCTGCACAGCGCTGGGAAACGTCCCCAGGGGACATGGAGGTACTGCTCCAGGTGCACCCCCCTTCGGTGCACCCCATAGACACCTCTTTTCCAACACACCCCTTAATTCACCCCATTACCTACCCTGTATCCAATGGATCCTCCTTCACTGCACCCCCTTTGCAGTTCATCCCATGTATGCACCCTTTCCGGTGCCCCCCTCCAACGCACCCTTCAACAAATCCTCACCCCACTGCCCCCCTTCATGCACCCTTTTTCCTCTGCACCCTTTTAATGCACTCTCGATACAATGCATCCCTTAACACACCCCTTTCCCAACGCACCCCATTAAAGCACCCCTCCTCCAAAGCACCCCATAGACCCCTCTCCGCCAATACCCCTTTCTAATGCCCCCCCATCTCCCACGCAAGCCCAAGGAGGGAGCACACACAGGGCAGCCCCCAGCCCCCTTTCTCCCCCCCCCATCTCCCCGTGCCCCCCCGGCGCTCAGCCGAGCGCAGCAGCTGTTCCCTGCACACTTCACTTGCCCGCAGATGATGATAAATGGCGCTGGGGCTGCGCCGCCCATTGCGCGGGGGTGGGCGGATGCGGGCAGTCAGGAGGAGGGATGGGGTGCGCAGAACCCCCCCGCCCCCCCAGGACCGGCTGCTCCTCCCATCCGGCTGCTGGGGAATTCCCTGAGCAGGTCCCTCCCTGAACCCCCCCAGATGGAATTCCCATTGCAATG